ATGAAAGACTTTTGGCCCCTCTGAGCCCCTAATTTGAGGGGTCAGCCCCTTTTTCTTGATATCAAATGAAAGGTCCTGTGATTTCAAAGACTTTTTGTTCAACACCTATTCAGAGATTTCTTTTCATTGTGGAGATATGATTCATATAAATATTTAGGGGCCACCCCTACAAGTCCTTAATGGGGCCATTTTACATAAATTCAGAGTATGCATATTGTTGAGAACATTATTCTGACCAACTTTTGTTCAATATTGCTTATCAAAATATTCCCCATTTTTGAGATATAAAGCGTCAAAGATCTGACATTCTGGCCCCTTGTGACCCCTAATTACGTAACACATGATCCAAGTTGTATCATATATTGTTGCAAATCGTTAAGATGAATACTTTTGCTTCTGCAATGTATTACAAAACATTAATCAATAAAGAGATAAAAATGAACGATTTTTGACCCCTCTGAACCCCTAATTTGAGGGGTCAGACCCTTTTTCTTGATACTAAATGAAAGGTCTTGTGATTTTGAAGATTTTTTGTTCAACACTTATTCAGAGATTTCTTTTTGTTGTGGAGATATGCTGAATAGAAATATTCAGGGGCCACACCTACAAGTCCTTAATGGGGCCATTTTTCAAAAATTCAAAGTATGCATATTGTTAAGAATATTATTCTGACCATCTTTTGTTCAATATTGCTTATCAAAATATTCCCCATTTTTGAGATATAAAGTGTCAAAGATTGGAAATTCTGGCCCCTTGTGACCCCTAATTACGTAACATATGGTCCTAATTGTATCATATATTGTTGCTAATCGTTATGATGAATATCTTTGCTTCTATAATGTATCACAAAATATTGATCATTCAAGAGTTAAAGATGAAAGACTTTTGGCCCCTCTGAGCCCCTAATTTGAGGTGTCAGCCCCTTTTTCTTGATATCAAATGAAAGGTCTTGTAATTTCAAAGACTTTTTGTTCAACACCTATTCAGAGATTTCTTTCGTTTGGGAGATATGCTGAATGGAAATATTAAGGGACCAGCCCTACAAGTCCTTAATGGGGCTATTTTACAAAAATTCAAAGTATGCATATTGTTAAAAATATTATTCTTACCATCTTTTGTTCAATATTGCTTATCAATATATTCCCTCTTTTCAGGATATGAAGCGTCAAAGATTTAGCATTCTGGCCCCTTGTGACCCCTTATTACGTAAGATATAGTTTAAAAGTTGAAAATATGTTGTTGCAAATGGTCTAAAATTAATAAAAATCGAAAAATCGAGCAGAAAAAGTGATAAAATTTTTTGGAAACACGGGGGGTCGAACCCGGGTCACCCGCGTGACAATCCAACGCGCTAACCATTCCGCCATCGGGATCGCCGCTTCGCGTTTTCAAATGCAAATATCTCGAGATTGGCTTTTTCGATTTTCAAACAAATTACATATTTGGCTTCTGCAAAAGGGTCTCTATTCAATTCTAAAACAAAAATATTAAAAAAGAAAAGTTGAAAAATTACGTTTTTTAAATTCGCTTCCGGTTTCGACCGGAAGTATTGACGTCGCACGAAAAGGAGATTCTGCAACGCTATAAGTCATGAACTATCATCTCCAATTAAACTTCAGTTCATATCTAAAGCAGTTTTCGCTACTAAATCAAGACAAAATTGCATTTTAAAATCAGAAAATTGTCCATATCTCACGACTGGAAGTGACGTCATCGACGAAAAAAATTTCCAATAAGGTTCAGATCAGTACCTATCAGATGTTAAAGTTTCATGAGAATCGGTCCAATAGTTTACGAGAAATCGCGTGCACAAAATCGGTAAGAATAATAATAATAATAACTAGAAAGTCTGCTATTGCAAGCAATAGCATATGTCGCCCCGTACTGGACAAGACTTTCATTTTTATCATCAAGAAAACAATGGTCCATTAGCTAAGCTTGGACAACCATCGAGTCGTATCAGTCCTTTCCGTTGGAAACGGAAGACCTTAATTGGGTACATCCCATTTTATTTTTAGAATCGGTAGGAGAAGAAAGTAGTGCAGGAAAAAATTACAAGTTCCTAAATTTGCAGACTTGCATAAAAGAAATTGGGCAGATGTACTGAACTGAGCCTCATACTTGTTAATTGGCAGTATCTTTCCTACCAAAAAAGCTTGGCAAATGTAATTTATTAAGAAGATCAGTCGAATTATTTTGTGTATTATAACGCCAGTTAGAACTCTGAAATTTCACTTTCATTTTTAGAGGTTCTGCCGGAAAGCGAATCTGACATGCCACCTTCAAATCGAGCATTTCTGCATTGCACAGGGCTGATGTTTCTTATGAGATGATAAATCATGTGTAAACTTTCTCAGTTTAGCGGAATCGTGAACATTTTCGGCGAGATGAATGTTTTGTTTACAGTAGTGATCAAGGCTTAGCGCACTTGTAGGAGCGGATCCTAGGATTTATGAATGAATAAAAACTATGGAAATAACGTACGCAATTTTCTAATTTATACTTGCACTATCTAATGAAATTAATAATATACAAGTAATAGATATACAAAAAAAATGCGAAATGCTAATAAATGCAGTTGACAATCGTTATTTTATATATAGATAAAATAAAATAATTATAAAATCTAGAGACAAGACAGAAGAAGAATGAAGGTTGGCAAACTATGAAATCACATCAGGAGAACTGAATTTTATGAATGAAACTTTTAAAACGTTACTTGTAAGTTGTATATGTTAGATATGTGTATTCTAACTGGCAGTGCGCTTCAAAAGGGGGGGGGGTCGTCTTGAACATAGTACCTTACGTTTGAACGGTAAGGGCTAGGGCTTTCGTATTTCAAATATGTAATCCTTGTGAAAAGAACGTTTATTGGACACGAAGAACTTTGACCCTTTGACCTAGACCTTGGAGAACACATGTGTACATCTTAACCTTTTTTCTGTTTCGTTTCTATGACAACTGTGAGCGACTCATTACAATTATTTTAAAAGTAAAAATCACTTTGACACATTGCAAGGAATTAATATTGAAAGTTTCAAAACGATTGCTTGAGTAGTTATTGAGAAAATCGAAATTAAAGAATTTTAACATTCCCCTGGTTTCCATGGCAATAATCGAGTATTTGAAAATTTTAAATGCAAGGCGCACAACTACAGATACTAATCATTAAAATAAAAAGAGTTTCATTACGAACGTTTAAGGGACCAGAGAGAACACTCTCGGACAAAATTCGTCGCTTTTTACAGGTTTCCATGGCAACGGTAGACATATTGGAACTGAACGACCTCACTGCACAACTACAACCAGTGATCGTCCTTTGAGGAAAGTTTCAGGAAGATTGCCCCAGCCATCTCCGAGAAACAGCCTGGATAAAAAAAACATGCGTACAATATCAATATGTCGTCCCCGACTTCGTTCGGGGCGACATAATAATAATAATAGGGAAAAAGAAACCGAAGAATAACAAGAAGGTCTTCCGTTGGAGACGGAAGACCTTAATAATAATAATAAGAAGAAGAAACCGAGTAAAAACAATATGTTCCCAAACTCCGTTTGGGGAACATAATAAGAAACCGAGTAAAAACAATATGTTCCCAAACTCCGTTTGGGGAACATAATAATAAGAAACAGAGTAAAAACAATATGTTCCCCAACTTCGTTTGGGGAACATAATAAGAAACAGAGTAAAAACAATATGTTCCCAAACTTCGTTTGGGGAACATAATAAGGCAGCAAAATTCAAATTCTCATTTCTCTACTAGGATTTTTACATCGGGCTCGGAGTTGGTTTTATTCAGGAAGACAGGACTGGGTTCAAGGCGACTAGGGGTACCACACCGGTAATTGACCAATCAAAATGAACTCAGTCAATTGTAGTTCCATACATATAAAGCCGATTTTCCTTTCTTTTGAGAGTTTTTTTTATTTCCTTCCAGGCCATTTTGACAACTCTGGTACCTGTGCCTAGGAAATTTTATCTACTCTGTAAATAAATAAAGTTTTTTGACAGGAACTATTTTTCCAGGGCATAGGGGGCTACTTCCCGGGGTGCTTTTGAGATGTTTATAAAGACATTGAAAACACGTGGATTTGGGGGTAGCCCTGTTTGCAGATGCAAAAAAAATCAGAAAATGTCGTGGTTTTTTTGGTGTCAGCTAATGTGACAGGTATTGTTTAACACTCCCTCATTAATATTTTTTTTCATGAATTCAAATACCTGATGTTTTACGGGGAAGAAACGTGTACTGCTTTTTAATATACCGAAACTCGCTATTTCTGGGGATTGTGTAATTCTAAAAAAAATTCAGATAAATTTCAAAGGTAAAATAAAAGAAGAATACTTGGTATTAAAATACTAATTCATATCAGTAGAATTGAGTGCTATTAACGACATTTAGAGAAATAGGCTTTAAAAGGTTTTTATCATATCTTTGTTTGTCTGCACTTAAATTTCAAACACGACAGAATTTGTAATTTTTGCCGTAAAAATTCATAATTTCTATACACTTTAGGGACTCACCGTAAAACTTTCAGGAAACTTTCTATGAAGTCTTTTCTGCACCTTAAGTGGAATTTTATGTCGATCCCAGGTGTCGATTGAGTTTCAGAGAAAGAATCAGGGGCAGTAAGCATATATGAGCTGCCCAATATTTTTTAAATATTTTTATACCAGTGTTATCGTTAAGTTGGTTTATTTTTCATATAACGAGATGTCCAGTTTGATGGAAATAGCAATAAAATTTTCAACATTTGATTTGTAGTTGAGTTATCACCATGTGAAGTTGGGCGATTTTTCCGGAATTGAGAAATTTCCATCAAATTCTCACATTCCAAACAAGGTTTAGATATGGCCGCACGCAAACAACAGAGTAAAAATTTAATAGATTGTTTAAAATGGCACAATAAATGATATCCCAAAATATCATTCTGTTGCTTGCATGCGGCCACCCTGAAAAATATAAAAAACGATGTTTTTCGAGGCCGATTTTGATCGCTTCCGGTTTCGGTTTTTATATTCAGACGTAAACAAAGTTGGAGGAAACAGAAAATGTGACAGTAGATTTATCGAAGTTCTAACCATTTAACAGGTAGGGAAGAATTGAAAATCAGAGCAATTGTAATTTTACATGCACTGTTCAAAATTAAATCCCCTCCTATACTTATTAATGATAGAAGATTCGACATGACAGACTCCGCTAACTCCATGAACTTCGGGGGGACGGTAATCTTCACATGCATGTCAAACAGTTGAAAATAGAAAATGTGTATCTAAAATACATCAAACAGGTACACAACATGCTATCTTCTTTCAAAGAAAAAAATAGATTATAAAAAAAGTGACTTAATCATCGATTCTTTTTGATTTAGGCCCTAATATTCATGATTCATTCATATGAACCCTCGATCGGCCGGTTGATCTGCATGATTAGGCGCGTTTTATCAGTTGTGAAAATCTTTACATATACGGCATTAAAATATAAATATACTACATTTCTAGGTTGGTGTTTATAACATATTTTTCTGTCTGAGTCCGAGTCTAGCCTTACACTGGTACCTGTGTACTTTGTGTAAATGTATGGTGTGCTATAACAGTCAAAAATAAAAAAAAATGGCAAGAAGTTTTTTTTTTTTTTGTTTTTTTTTATGTTAAACCATTAAAGAAATAAAAAAAATTGTTTCTTGAAAATAAGCTAACATCACTAAATCTAATTAATGTTCTTTGCAGAATAAACAATATAAATTCTTTCTATTTTTCTTGTGGGAACAATGTATTTTTGTTGTTTTTAAAACTTTTTAATTAAAATATTATTAATGTAAAATTAAACTTTTGTAAGTATTAAAAAAAATAATCAGATTACCTTAGAATATTATGAATTCATTTAAATCACCATTTAAATGAAAAAAAAAATGTTTGTCATTACATGGTTCATCGTTTTTGTTTTAATTTAAAGTACCCAATAATGTCCTTGCTTCAGATTTTATTCATTTAACTCAAATAGGTAAATCAATAAAACTGCTATTTAAATTGATTTCATGAATGAAATAATTATATATTATACCTGGTGATACATGTATAAATAAATTATTCTCTTTTTTTCATATATAAAGAAAATCTTATGCAAATGTATATACACTGTACAAGTAACCCCCCTCATTCCATAGTTATAGACAAAATGTGCATAGTTACATAATATATATAGTAATTTAATTTTAATATTCATATTTTAATTGTAGGATGCCTGGAGATGGTCCAAAACAATATCCTGTTACTGGAGCTGTTACTGGTTGGTATTGTAAGTGTCGTGCTGGACCCAGAGTTGTCGGGGCATGTGCCCATGTGGCCTCAGTATTGTGGTTTCTTGGCTATGAAAGACACACAAACTTTGCAGTAAGACCTATTCAAGACTGGGCTGACTACTTGAGGATGCAGCTGTGCAACCTGCAGTAATGGATGGCTCATCAGAAAGTGAAATGAGTGCAACGGAAGAGTGACATGAATTGTGACATTGGTTTATTGATGGTGAACATTATTGAGAGTGAACATTCTGCAGATTATTGGCGTCTCCATATGAATGAAAATTCTCAAGAGGGACGTTAAACAATATACAATCAATCAATCAATCAATCTGCAAGTTATGATATCAACTGCATTAGACTCCCATTATTGTTTTCAACAATATAGTGGAAGGCTGTGTATATATTGTTATTAATTAACTGTAAATAGGGATTTTTATGTGTCTTTGATTTTTTTTATGTTTAAATTGTGATTTCTTAACATCTGTTATATAATTGAGAAATTAAAATATAGTACATTGTACATCCCAAAAACATAGTAGATTCATTGCATGAGTTTAATAAGTTTGGTTGTAAATATTGAAAGATGAATTATGTTATTATCATATGATTAATTGTTATCAAAATTAATATACTGATGTAAAATGCATAATGATTCACAAAATGTTTCTCAGATAATAGTAACAATTATAGTTTATTATGCAATGTGTTTATTTGCATATTGAACTTTGTTACTAATTAAAATAACTATTTACAAGTACTTGTTATTTTTTGTAATACAATGTAATTACAAAACCTTTCCAGACAAACATGTACTAGAATAACTAATTCTTTGATGCTTAGTTCATTTTTATGACATTGTGAGGATGATAAACATTATCTTATTATGAGTAAATGTAGTGTTTAAGGCATGAGTGGTGTGATGTTAAACTTCTATGATCTTTTTTGAAAAAGTATAGGTGGGTGATGGGAGTTCTGGAATTTGTTTATGCAAACTGAAATCCCTTATTGTTATTTTTGTCAAGTTTAATGAATTGTTATTAAAAATGTTAGTTGAATACATTTCTTGTTTGTTCACTTTGTGCATTCAATGCATTTTTATGTTAAATACATACAAGTAAATTCAAAGAATTGTGGTCCCCCGCTTTCGGTGTCTTTGTGAGTGAGATGTTATTTTTTTATGACATATTGTGTCTAATATGAACAACCTATCATATGTCATTTATTTAGAAATTATCATTGAAGTTGATTATTTTGAAGGATGAAAACCCTAATCCTGACCGTTAAAAACTTATGGCCAAAGTGAAAGTTTTTAAAGTAGGTCAACTCCAAGGTCAAGATCAATGGGTCAAAGTTGTTGATATCCAATGAAAGGTTTTCTCACAAGAATTACGTATGTGAAGTATGAAAGTCCTAGCCATAACCGTTCAAAAGTTATGGTCAAGGTTAAAGTTTATTCATAAATACGTAAATCTTTAAGGTCAAGGTCAAAGTTGTTGATATCCAATTAAAGCTCCTGCCACAAAGAATATATATGTGAAATGTGAAAGTCTTATTATCTATCGTTCAAAAGTTGTGACCAAAGTTAAAGTTTTTTTTTAAAAGTAGTGAAAACTCCAATGTCAAGGTCAAAGGGTGAAAGTTGTTGGTATCCAATGAAAGGTCTTCTGAAAGGATTACCTATGTGAAGTAGGAAAGCCCTAGCTCTCACATTTCAAAAGCTATGGTCAAGGTTAAAGTTTATTCATAAGTACATAAATCTCAAAGGTCAAGGTCAAAAGGTAAAGGTTATTGGTATCCAATGAAAGGTCTTGACTCAAAGAATACATATGTGAAAAATAAAAGTTCTAGTATCTACTGTTTAAAAGTTGTGACCAAGGTTAAAGTTTAAAAAGTAGTTAAAACTCTAAAGTCAAGGGGTAAAAGTTGTTGGTATCCAATGGAAGGTTTTTTTTACAAGGATTACATATGTGAAGTACGAAAGCGTTAGTCCTCACCGTTCAAAAGTAATGGTCAAGGTTAAAGTTTTTTCATAAGTACGTGAAACTCCATGGTCAAGGTCGAAAGGTCAAGGTTGTTGGTATCCAATGAAAGGTCTTGCCACAAAAAAAATACATATGTGAAATATGAAAGTCCTAGTACCTACCATTCAAAAGTTATGGCCAAAGTAAAAGTTTGGAATTTTTGTGTAAAAGTGGGTTAAACTCAAGGGTCAAGGTCAAAAGGTCAAATTTGGTGGTGCCCAAAGAAAGGTATTGTAACAAGGTATACACATGTGTAATATGAAAGTCATAGCTCCATTAAATCAAAAGTTATGGGCAATGTTAAAGTTTTTGTGACAGACAGACTGACAGACTTACGGACAGACGAATGAGATTTAAAGTCCCCTCGCTTTTGCGAAAGCGGGGGACAAAAACAACTGTTTTACATTAAAATCCGTTTTTTTTTACCACTTATAGCTAAAAAATAGTTTCTATTCACATGTTTAAGATCATTTCTGTTGTACTTGTATTACACATCCATCTTTTATTTCTTTAATCATATTTACAGGGGAAAAAAATTATTAAGAATTTCCAGAAATCAGTGAAAATTGTGTTATTTTTGTATTGACCCCAGAATGTCTTAATAGTGTTTTTTTCATCAAAATATATCTGAAAAGGTGTGATTCAATCATAATTCTTTTAATATTTATAACAATTTGTCCATTATGGTTGGGGCATATTTAGGGTCTTAATGCCCCTGATTCTTTTCTACGTTGCTATTGATTTTTTTTTTTCAGGAGAAGGGGGGGGGGTGTTGACTTACTTATTTTAAGCATTTGTTAAAGTGAGTTTGTAAATACATCTACGAACTTGAGCTGGATTGTGACCTTTGGATCAAGAGGTCAAAGGTCAAAGGTCAAGGTCATCAAAGTATTTCATAAAGAAATATAAAACTAACGGCCATATCAAGTATACAAGTCATTTCACTACTGGACGAAAAAAGTGCTGAGAATCCCAAATTTTACTGATAAAGTTTGATAATTACTGATACTGTGCTGTTGTTGCTGATAAATACTGATATTTACTGTTATTATTACTGTTGTTGCTGATATTTTTTGTTGTTTCTGATAAATACTGATAATTACTGTTGCCTTTTACTGTTGAGTCTGATAAATACTGATAAATACTGTTGAGGTACTGTCGTTGCTGAGAATTGCTGATAATTACTGTTGAGGTACTGTCGATGCTGAGATTTACTGATAATTACTGTGGTCATTGTTTTTAACCTGGTAATTGGTTTAAAATATAACAGAGGGCTATAAAAACCTTCAATTATTACTTTCTTTTACCTGAATTGTCATGGCAAAATTTTCATATTTTTTTTAAATTTTCTGCTTGTGGCAAAATTACATTACTGTATGTATGTATGCTGATCTCAATTTCTACATTCCGTTAACTTTGTGAAAATTTTGACAATAATCAAATGAATTATTAATAGAATGAATATATAGAAATAGAATTAATAAAAAAAAATTAACTGCAGAAAAAAAAAATGGAATTTTACTTTTGCATAAGATCTTATTGAAAAATAAACTGTAAATAAAAAGAAAAGTATGCTATCTTAAAAAAGATCCATCGCCGCCTTTCCCGATTCCAAAAAAATATGTAGGGAGATCGGTGATTTTTTTATTCAATAATAAGAAAAAAGTTCGTAATGGATGGGAAAAAAATCGGGATAAAAAAAAGTTTCCTGCAGGTTAGAAAAATTGGGGTGTTGCTAAAACGCGGAACGGAAAACGGAACGGAAAGCGGAACGGAACGGAAAACGGAATATATTATTTTGGATTAAATCACTTAAAATACACAAAATTTATCATAAACGATATATTTTGTACATATTCAATCCCCCACAATTAAATACAAGTTGATTTTATCATGCTCAGTCTCTTTTTTTTACGAAAATCGCTAACATATAGCAGTCACCTAGAATCGAATTTGAAAAGGGGGGATAAACGAACTTGAAAAGTATTTGACAAGCAAAAACTCAAAAAGAAACAATTGTTTGATTCGGGAGGGGAGTAAAACACAAAAAGAAAACAAGTGTTTGATTCGGGAGGGGGGATAGGTTCCAATTCCAACATCTTTCAGTAATATTTTCTTACACTAACTTACTACATTAATTACATTCACAAAAAGTTTGAGGATGTCAACTTAAACGAACATTTCCGTAGTAAAAAGGTTATGACTGGGGGATCAAATATTTGATATCTAAATGAACCATGAAAGAGAAATAAAATGTAAAAAAAATTATTAAGATAATACGTTTAGGGCAAACCTTTACGGCAAGCTCGAAGAAACATCTCTTATACACACTGGTTGTTAAAATTTTATTCAAAATAGAGACATTTTCTATATATTTAAATTCTGGAAAGACAAAGTTGGAAAACTTTCATGTCATTCAATGAAGTTAAATTTTGTTTGCGGTACATATGTATGTATGTTTGGGGGGGGGGGGGTGTATATGAATGACCCCGTAAAAAATGAGTTTGTTTTCCCACTCATCGGAAAGGTCTGAGAAGTTGTAATAAGTATGCCCCCCCTTTTGTGTCAAAAATATACATAAGGTTTAATAAATCAATTTCTAATGTGACTGTGGGCCCCTACATAGACCTGAAACTGCCACTCCCCCTTTCATGATTCGCGAATTCGACACTGCGCGTGCATAATCTGAATATCATAAATAGTTATTTTTGTCTTTACAGACATTGACAATGGAAACAAATTGAAAGAAGGGGGGGGGTGTCAGTAAAAATTTTCCAACATACAACAAATTTGACAAACCAAAAAAAAGGGGGGATATGTCCTTTGCCCAAACACGAAAATCCTATTTCGTGTGTGTGTGTGTGTGGGGGGGGGGGGGGGGTCGAATTTCTTTCAGTACCATTTTTTCCACGGAAGTTGTGTATGACTCATGAATATATAATAGTTTACAATAAATTTTTATCAGAAATGATTTTTACAGCAAGAATATTGCTCTTTTATCTGATTTATATCGAATCTATGTTATTTGTTTGACAAAAATTTTCCGTTTTCCGTTCCGTTCCGCTTTCCG